GCGTCTTGTGTACTATTGCTTTTCTGGAAAGGCTAGGACAGGCAGCTACAAATCCTCAGAAAAGTCTGCTGGTGGTCACCCAATTTTCTCTGGCCCCACAGCATATGGGCAGGCAGAGGGTGTCTGAGCTACATCTGGAGACCCTTCTGCTTGCTGCCTGATAGCCGTAAGACTCTGAGCCACGGATTACATGGAAAGTTACTCTATTAAAATGCTACCCAGACTGAATGTTCATTTCTAAAGCATTGTTTCTCTACATGTGAACCTGGGTCTACCTGTATCACAATCACTTGGTGCATGCTAAAAATGCAACTTTCTATATAACTGTCTGCCTCTTGTTTCTCTCCCATGTTAGCATGGAGCATAAACTGTTCTGTCATTTTGGCACACCAGATCATAAAATGATAACTGCACATTGTAAATGCTTATAAATATTTGTTCACTAACTTAATTCTTCATCTCTATACTGACCTAGTGAGTTAAAATCCCTAAGACTGAAACCAAGGAATTCACATTTTAAAGTAGCACGTAGGTGATTCTTAGGCATGCTAAATATTAGGTATTGGCTTTCAAAAGTAATCCAGTGAAATCTAAGATCTAAAAAGGGAAAGGTTATTACACTGGTCTTGTTCAGGCAACCATATTGTTGAGATTTCATGGGTACATTTCCCCTCATGTCTAGGGGACACTACATAGCAGCAGGCATCCTGGGCTTCAGCTCTTACACTCTTCCTGCCTCCTCTTCTGCGCTTTTCCTGGAGCTCTGAATGTAAGGCTTGCCTGGCAGGTGTATCGGCTGGAGGGGAGCCACAGACACTCTCTACATTTTGACAAACTGTAGAGCTCAGTGATAGTTCCATCTGTTGAAAAAGAAACTTCTTCAATGCGGGAGATACATGCACATGTGAGCAACACTGAATGGGCTCAGCAGGTTTTGTACACATGTCTGCACGTGTGTAAAGAAACTAGGGAGTATGGGAGACAACACGGGAGGAATTAGAAGAGGGAGGGAAGGTGGAAGTGATGTAGATACAATACCCATGTGTGAAGTTCTCAAAACAAAATGAAATGAATAAAAAATGATGTAAGGTTTTGTGTCCACAACACCATGCTGTCTGTCTGGTGAGACATTAATATTCCCAGTTTACACAATGGGAATAAAATAGGAAGTGAATCCTGATTTCACTGCTGTTTTCCAGGCAGGTCTGGATGTTAACTCTGATTTCTGAAAGCAGTGTGATGTCATCAGAGAATATAACTTTTCCTCAATTTGCTTCAGGAATGAAAGACTCCCTACCCATGTCCCATAGATGGTCCCACACCCATTCCCACACAGGCAGCACAAAGTGGACTCGGTGGGTTAGGGAAAAATAGAAGAGCATATGAAGTTGGGAGAGAAACCGTGAAGGGGGAGGAGTTGGAGGGGCAGTAATGGAGGGTGAATTTGACCAAACTACAGTAAATGTGTGTATAACATTCTCAAAACCTGACCTTTCCAAATAGCCCCATTAAGTGTTTGGTCCCTTTAAGTGTTTGTTTTAGTCATAATCCATGGACCTTTTGGCAGCCCCTTGTGTCAGGTGGTCATTTCTGCTCTCGGTCTCTTCCTCATTTGATAAATGAAGTGAGACCAGAGTCAGGCCTTGAAGTCATTCCCAGTTCTAATGTGTCCCAACCCTTGACTACTCAGTGACAGTTGAATGGTTTATATGTAATAAAATATCCTGATGTAATTTGGTGAGCAAATAGTGATTATCAATCCACCCCCAAACTTTCCAAATTTAGGCAAACTAAAGACATTTAAGAGATGCGTAACCAGGTTTTAAGAGTTTTCTGTGAAGTTTCATGCTTGCCTACAAAATACTATCATCATTTTAACATGCTTGAAATTTTCTGTAAGAAATACCTTGCCACACGTTCCTCTGAAGTTTGCATAGTTCATTGAATGCAGGGTGGAACAGTCTGTGACCCAGGACACAGCTTCATCAGTGGTAGGTTACAGTGGGGGGTTACTTCAGAGTGTAGGCCATGGAAAATCTGACAACAATAAAAGGTTTATGACTGTGCAATGAGCAAAATTAATTCAAAATCAATGTGTAGTGATTCCAAGGTGTTTCTGGCAGCGTCCACTCATGTTGTACTCTGCAGTTTCACTGCAGATGTGGTTCTGAATGTGCAACCAGCACACTTGGTTCAGTGTGTACTTTCATGTTGCACAATACCAACCACCAGCATCTGTACAGCCACTGGTTTAGGGCCATTGTAGGCAATGAATTGCAGTGCTTTATGCACAATATTTTCTGCTACTATAGAAACTCAAATGGTGCAATTGCAGAAAAGAAAGGTTTTAACAGAGTTTGTTTCCCATTCTTTGTTATTTAAGTATTAGATTAGCAATATCTATGGATTCTGTATTAGAATGTTTAACTTTAAAAAAATATTTATTTATTTATTTATTTATTTATTTATTATGTATACAGTATTCTGTCTGTGTGTATGCCTGAAGGCCAGAAGAGGGCACTAGCCCTCTTTACAAATGGTTATGAGTCACCATGTGGTTGCTGGGAATTGAACTCAGGACCTCTGGAAGAGCAGGCAATGCTCTTAACCACTGAGCCATCTCTCCAGCCCTAAGAATGATTAACTTTTTAATTGTTATTATTAACATGTCTGTCAACTCTGGAAAACCCTGAAGGTGATCTACATCCTAAAGCATAAAATATTCAGCCAAGATTTAAATCTTTGTGTGAAAGGAAACAGGCTCATGCATCTTAATGGTACGCATGTTTGCTTTCATCTTTAACAAATGATAAAATTATATGCATGCCAAAAACTAATGTAAGTTTAAAACTAATGTATTTTTTAACTAATGTAATTTTAAAGACTAAACTAAATTTCTGAGCTAAGTAAACAACTTAGTCTAAAGTATTTGCCTTTCAAACACAAAATCAAGAGTTCAACTCCCAGAACTCATGTTTTAAAAGCTAGGCCTGTGGTACGACTGAGGCAAGCAGAGGCCTGGGGCTTGCCAACCAGTCAGCCTAGCCTACTTGGCAAGTTCCAGACCAGTGAAAGACCCTACCTCAAGAAATGGTGGCTGGAACCTGAGAATTGGCCTCCACAGACATGCGTATACACAAGTACATGTACCTGTAAACATGTGTACCTACACACACTAGCATGCAATTACATGCAAATCAGATAAAATAAATTTCTTTGCTTTGTTATCAATAAATGTTTAACTAACTGGTATATCTATTCCATATCTATACATCCAGAATTGTATAAAACTTTCTCAGGCAGAGGGGGGCATGAATGGAAGGCCTGGCCTAGAAAACGTCTTGGGGGACTGGTCTAGGAAAGCTTGAATCTTAGAGGATATTCTTGGGACTCTCTGAAAGATGAGACAATTTAGGCTGTAAGAAGCTTATAAGAGCTCGCTCCCAGCCCCATTTCCTCCCCCACTTCCTGGTCTCACAGAAGTATGGAAGATGGGCCATGCTCTTCACAGCAAGATACCTATAATTCCTTTTGCTAAATTCTAACCTGACAGCTCAGGCCCTGGTAACGTTTCCATGACTGTTGCCTGAGTCATTGCATATGAATCACTTTGCTCTGGCAGAAGCCCCTAAGCCAGTCCTTCTCAGAACTTTGAGATTTAGTGTCTGCTGTGTAACCAACTAATTTGCCAAACTTCTTTTTTAAATCTGTGATGAAATTGGTAGAAAAACATAATTGGTATGCCCTCTACAGACTACCAGATCATTTTAAAGATGAAAGAAATGTGAACATTAATTAACCTGTAATAAATCACATGTTTGGGAAGCACCAGAAGGTATGATGAAGCAGCTAGCAGTCCCTGTGTGCCTAGATCCACAGGGGCTAACATACCAAGTCCCCGCCACTGCTCACTGAATGCCTGTAGCACCCCCACCATTTTCTGTATTACACGCTTTATAAAACCTAGATTAATCATCCCAATGGGGAAAGTTATTGGCCTCAGAAAGTATTTCACCACCCACAGCTCCTTCCAACTACTTTATTTGTTTTTGTTTTCCTTCAGGATCTTAAAATAAAAGTATCACATCAGACTACAATAATCTCAGCAATGACTATGTGTCTATCACTTGCCAAGCTTTTAAAAACATTTTTGCACTTGTTGAGCTACTGACTTGCTCAATCCTAATAACTAACTCTAAATACTATCATTTCCAGGATTATTTGGCACCATGTAACTTGCTCTACAAATAATTTCTCACGATTATCATAATGTTGACTTTTATTGTAGGAAAGAAATGGTGTTGGAATGCAATGTTGCCTCCCCATCTGGTGTCTCCCTGTCCAACTGATGATCACAGTACACACAGAGCTAGCGCCGTCCTTTGGGAAAGAGCTCTATTGGGAACGACATGATGTTTCTCCCTCATGTGCCTTTCCATCTGAGTGTGTGAAATTTGAGTCCCTGCATTTCAACTTGCTTTATGCTTTCAGGCTTTAAGGGAATGTAGCTGGTTTGGGGAATCACATTTTTAACCAAATGTCTGAAAATGGATTCTATCTTCTTGATGTTTCGTCAACATAAAAAAAGGAGATCTACCCATTTGAACTGAATTTTTTTTCTAAAGTGAAAATTTGGAGTGAAATCTTTTTCCCCTGAGCTTCTCTTTCATTGCCAAATGTCTTTTTCCCAACCAGAATTGTTTAAAATTAATTAAAAGAATGCATTTTAGCAGTCTGTGGGAAAAGTAGAGGGTCAGTGTGACCATTTTACCAGGAACACAGTATGGTCAGGTATCTCCCAAGCATGGTAAGAAACAGTCATTTGTTTTATTGGGAGATAAATGCATTTCTTTCTTTCCCTGAGACTGCCAAAGAGCTGTCTTAACTGAGCACTAGTTAATGCTAAGAGTTGGAGTCTACCATCTTGAGGTTCCTTACACTGTAAAGAGAGCAGAGCAAACTAGTCCAAACAAATTCACATATATTTTTTTTTCTTACAGAGGGAAAATGATTCCATCTGATCTTGAAAGAAGAATCCTTGAAGTCAAACAGAAAGTAAGTTTCTGTAGGGATCTCTGAGCCACAGCAACAAGGGTTTCAGTTCATAGGCAAGAAAAGTCATTTAGGTTTTGTTCTTCAAAAAGGATCTGAACCCCAGTCTCCAAGCTCTAAGAAAAATATGAAATTTTTCATGCAGTTATCACATCAGTCTCCAAGTATGCATATGTTGTACGAGGAGGGGTCCCTTAGTTCTGGCCGCACAGATAGCTTAACCCCCAAAATAGACACACAGAAAGTGTATTAATTTAAACACTGCCTGGCCCATTATCTCTAGCCTCTTATTGGCTACTCTCATATCTTGATTTCTACTAATTTCTACTAATCTGTGTTCACCACGAGGTTGTGGCTTACTGGGAAAGATTCAGCATGTCTGATTCTGGCAGATCCATGGTGGTTCTCTCTCTCTGCTTTCTTCTTCCCAGAATTCAGTTCTGTCTCCCCACCTACCTGAGTTCTTTCCTATCACCAGGCCCAAAAGCAATTTCTTTATTAACCTATGAAAGCAACACAAATACAAAAGGACCTCCTACACCACATATATATATATGTGTGTGTGTGTGTGTGTGTGTGTGTGTGTGTGTGCATATACATGTATATGATGTACATGTGTATGTATATATGTGCTTTATAATGGTTTAGGTTGCTTTATAGATAATCTATACAGGGACAGGTTTCTAAAAACCCTTACATGATGTGCTTGGTACAGGGCAGACCTCACAGCTAGCCATGCTCACAGCTAAGGACTGGCATGCTCATGCAGCATGTGAGTGACTGTCAATGGGGTTTTAAGAGGACCATATTAAACCATACATCCTATTCTGAAGGCATGAATTTAGAACTCCTTTAGAAAGAGCAAGACAAGTTAGGGATATGACTCAGTTGGAAGAGTGCTTGTCTAGCTTGCAAAATACCCTGCGTTGTTCCCCAGCGTCTGTAAACTAGGTGTGGTTGAGGCAGAAGAATCAGAAGCTTAAAGTCATCCTCAGTTACATGTGGAGCTTGAGGTCATTCTAAAAGATTTGAGATCTTGTCTCAAAACTATAAAAACAAATAACAATATCCATCAAAGAACATGCCCTTGGATGATTCACAACTCAGAGATTGCTTTTTAAGATTCTCTGTTTAACTTTTAGTAAATAAAAGGTACAATGCATGGTTTAACAGTAGATATAATTAGTGTGTGCTTAGCAGTAATCATTAATTTTCATATGCTTTTTATTTCCTCGTACAGCTTTCTTGTATTAGAAAGGTGACTATGTAAACCATAAGATTAAACCTTTGCTGCCACCTAAAGACAAACCCCGAAACCTCAGTCAGGGTCTATAAACCAACAGTGCCCACCAGGACAGCCTAGAGTGACCACACTGGTCGAGAGAATCCGTGCCTTTCTTCCACCCTCATAGCCATGTCCTATTTAAGTCAATTTTCATGTTGCCATGGCTTGGAGGATGTTTAGCCCCATGTGAGTCCCCCCTCTAAAGCTCCAAGTAAATCACCTGAGCTGGTCCACACAGGAGCGTGGGTGGGCAGAGCCCCTCTTTGGTCCCACCTTTCATACCTGCCCTTGCTGAGGGACGAGGTAGGTGGCTGGGTGTGAAGAAGAAAGAGCAGAAAATGAGCAAAGGAAATAAGAAGGATCGCTGAATCTACCTGGAGCATGTAAATGGTGACGTCACTGAAAACCTCCGGTGCAGGGAAGTCAGTGCTGCTGACTGCTGCTGTCACAGGGCAGCTGCCAGGTGCCGCAGAGTGGAGCCATTGGTTTAGCCAATTTAGGGCGGTGACAATTCTTCTGATGGTTAAAACGATGCACATAGTAGGGGAGAGGTAAGAAGCCTTGGATCCCAGTGTGGTGCCCACGTCTGTAGAGCCAGACTGAGCTGGGAGGACTGTCACATACTGAGGCCGATCTGCACACTGGGGTCCAAGTGAGACTGAGCCACACAGCAAGACCTTGTCTCAAAAAATTAAATGAGTAAATAGGGTCAGAATTCCTGCTTACACAACGGGGGCTCTCTTGCTTTTGTAGGGATTTGTTCCTTTCCTTGTGAGCGCTACAGCTGGAACCACTGTGTATGGGGCTTTTGATCCCCTCTTGGCTGTTGCTGACATTTGCAAAAAGTACAAGATCTGGATGCACGTGGATGTAAGTACCCATCAGCGACTCGCGACTGGCACAACTTTTAGATGAGACTCATGTAATACGATCTGCATTCCCCGCCCCTGTCTTCCCCTCTCTCTCTCTCTCATTTAGAATGATGGCATCTCAGATTTTAAAGATCTCAGAGGCACAGAATTTACACAGTGTGTGTAGTATTAGTTAGAAACAGCCCGAGACTAATTATGCATTAAGGTTCCCCACACGACAATTTCATTGACATTCTCATTACTTGAGTCTGGTTCTCAGTTTATAGATCCATAATGTCTCTGGCTAAAAATCATCCACACACACAGTCACACAAATGCAAATCTTCCTTATAGATATTATATCAGTTACATTTGTAACAGAACCCCACAGGGTTATAAAGCTCAAGTTCAAGTTAGATAACCATGTATGTGGTGGGTAAAAAGCAGACTTGACAATTCACTATGGAATATGGATTGCCAAATTTCCAACACGTTAGTTTGGTAAACCAAGAAGCTGAACTATATCTGAAATGTTTTGACACGATGTTTATGACACCAAAATTTACAGAAAGTACACTACCATTTCCTAATAAGAATCATGTCCATCTGCAAGGCTGAACTGAAGGGATTGGATTTAAATTGAGTGTGTTACTTGGTGTGGCTTGAAGATCAGTTGCCATCTGCAAAGTACTTGCTAATGAACCAAGGTGAGATAAAATATTTGTGATAAATAACCAACCACAAACCATTACCAACTCAGCACAATGTTTAACTCAGTTGATCTTTGTGTTGCAGTATTTTCTCCATAGCAGAAGAGATAAGTTGTTAACATTCAGGAACCAACATTTATGCTGCTGTGAGTTAAAACTGCAAGCATTCAACATGGAGCCTGTTTAATGGCTCCCTAGCCCGTCTTATCTTACTCCAACTGTGGCAACCAAAGACTTTCTCATTCTGAGAGCATGGGCCTTCCAAAGGAACAACTAAAAGACTACAGGAAGGGCGGGGGAAGCAATCTTTCTCCCACTCATGCAAACTGGGAAAATATGTCTCCAATTTGACTCCATAATTATAAACATAAAATATATAAATAAAAGATAGAGTCTGAGACTTCCCACCTTGAAATGTAAAGACCTCACATTAGGAGAAGGTGGTCCACCCCCTTAATCTACATGCACCTATGAAGGTCATTTTCATATTATGACATTCCCACTAATATGGAAGGCTCTAAACTAAAAATCCAGGCCATAGAAAGGTGCTACACTCTCCCTTGTCTGTTCTGTCATTTCAGGCAGCTTGGGGTGGAGGGCTGCTGATGTCCCGGAAACACAAGTGGAAGCTGAGCGGAGTGGAGAGGTACGTGTGATTTCCTAGTCTATAATGTAGATGTTAAAAGTTACATAAAATAAAATGGCACTCCACTTCTAAGGAAGTCTTGGGATGCCAGCAAGCCCACTCTGTCTGTATTTGTGAGTCTTGCCTAAGTGTAAATACAAAAAACAAAAACAAAACAAACAAAAAAAACCAAAAATTCTGCATCAAGTAACTGAAGAAGGAGAATGGCTTTCAAAAACGGCGTTTATCTCTAGAGTTCATTCCTGGCCCCTTTGAATCAACCACCATAATTTAAAAATTTTTAAACATTTTTCTAAAGGGGGAATTTGTAGTTTTCATGTTACCATAAGAATAAAATCCATGTCTTTAAATAAAGCAATAAATAGTTTTCTCAAAGCAGGTAAGCATGATGTCCTTTGCCATTCGCATTGCTGAAAGTTACATTTGGGATTAGACACAGTCAGCTGAGCCAAAGTCGGACACGCCAGAGATTTCATTCTCCCGACTTCATCCCACGACAACCTTTTTCTGACGTAGCTCTGATTGATGCAGTAAGTAGCTCTTATTTGGGTCCGGTGCAGCAGACCATTGAGAAAGGCTGCAAAACACAGAGGAAGAATGTTTGGTTAGCATAAAACATGTTGAAGTCCAAGGCGGGAAATGCAGAATACAAAATATGGCCTCAGGCAAAGGGCAACCAGTTCTCTCATCTCAACAGAGCAAGACAAGCAGGTCAGCAGGTCAGCTCCAGTTGTGAGTTCTGCCCCTCCAGACCACAGAGAAAGCCTTCATTTATCAGAGGCTGACAACTGCCTACCATGCCCTGCCAAGCAGCCAGATGCTGCCCAGGAAAAGCTTCCCTCTGGCTCTGCCCCTAGACATCTTGGCACAGGTTCTAAGTCAGGACCAGAGAAAAGGCTTCAGGAAGTTGGAAGCATCTGTCAGCACACAGAGAGACCAGACCAGAGAGTGTCTGTGTGAGACTAGGCCGGCTCAGGCTCAACAGACAAAACCCATGAATGTGGAAGTGCGGGAGGAGGAGGTCGAGGATAGAGCCAAGAGTGTCCTTGAATTAGCAGAAATAAGGCTAAGAAAGAGTCGGGCAGAGCAGCCAAGCCAAGCACCCTAGTCACACCTACCAGAACTGTGTGTTTTCAGCCGTGGCACCTTCCATTCTGTGACTGTTTCTGACACAAACTGTAAGCATCTTTTCTCCCACCTTGAATGCCGCCTCCCTCGGCAAGTGCTGAGAACCACAGAGCACTCCACCACCGCCACATAAAAGCTCACTAAATTACCTACCTAGAGCCTCGGGAAATAAACGCCCACACGCTTTCATCCTGAGGGTTATTATTTGAGGGAAACGCTCACAGTGTTCATCTTGGCACACAGAGTCCTCTGTGTTCTTGTTGCTACAATTCTCAAAACCAGATTATGACTAAATTAACCAAATGGAATAGCCAAGGATGGAATACTCAGAAAAATAAGGGCACTGCCATGTCATGTTCTGAGCACGCGTAGCAGATCAGAACCATCCTTCACCGTCCCTAGCATGATACGGCCACAGAACCCGTGGGAATTGCTGGAGTACAATGTGCGTGCACTTAATTTTAGGAAAGAAATGCGGCTCTGTCGGAGAAAACTTTTCTCTGAGTATCACAAGCCAAAGTTTAAGACTCGTTCCAAGGGGAGAAGAAATCTATGGTCCATTCTTGTCCATCTGTGGTTTCAGAGCATTCTCATAGCATAATGGCAGAGCCTTATCCTGCTACCTCTTTGGGAAGAAGCCAAGTCCTTCAGAAGACTTTCTTTCTGGCTAGCACTGCCTTCCCTAGAGCCAGTGTAGCCGAGAAGCCCAGCTCCTCAGAGCCGGTCTGACCTTGGAACAGTCTACTCTTCCAGGACCCTAAGGACTTGCTGAGGGTTGCAGTGAAACAGAAACTGCGTCACCAGTGGCCTTCAACCCCACTTGAGAGCCAAGGCAAGAATGCTGTTAAGAGAGGTGGAGGAGGAAACGATCTTTCCTGGATCTCAGCATTCCAAAACATGTGCCAAGCATCAGCACTGGATTTAGCGTCATCCAGTGAGGGGCAGAAATGGAAGAGGCGTAGTCCTGCTAGAGAGCAGGGACGTTTGGAAACGTCCTTGGAGAAAGTTGAGTCCAATCTGGGTGGAGGGTGGGGTGTGTTTGTGTCCCTCTGTGTGAATCTAGAGCAGAAAAGTGGTAGAAATACAAAAGTTCTGTCCAGGAGGTTGGCAGAATATCGGCCATAAGTGTAAGTCCCAGGAGTGCTGACCAAATGCCATGGACCCTCAGCTGAATTGTTCATTGACTTAAGAAGGATTCCTGGTACAGCAGGTGTCTTCTGATGGGCCAGAAACCACCTGTCATTCATCAATACTTCCCAAGGCCCTCACACCTTGAGGGGTGGGAGGACAGCAAGCTAGGACACTTTGGACACCGCTGCTATGGGATGCTCCACTGCCTCCCCTGCTCCTGTGGGTCTCTTTATACAAAGGTCAAACTATGATTCTCATCCTAAAGACCTTCAGCATCTCAGCAAGCATTGAGCTTGCTTGACAAACACAGATTCCTTGGCGGGAACAGTGCTCTGGGCACTGGAAAGGAGGAGTTGGAGCAGTGCAGGAGCCAAGGGGAGACGTTAAAGGAACTGGAATGTGACTGAAGAGATACTTTCAGAATCTGGATGGGGGGGACAAATAGAATTAAAGTGACGCCAAGAAAGAGGCCATGGCATGGCGGGCCCAGGAGTGGAGCAGAATACCCAGAGAACGAGAAGTAGTCTGCCATAGTGGAAATGCAGAAAGGAAGGGAAGGGATGTCGGCTGGACACAGAGGTCACCCTGAGCACCCCAGGCATGTGCTACAGTTTGGAGTTTTAGCTACAGGGAAAGACCATAAACAAAACTGCAAAATAACCCTAGTGCCCAGGGGTGAGGGAGAGTCAGTTAAGACTAATCCAGATTAAGCTACTAATAATTATTATTTTTAAAGAAATATGAACCATGGTCCTAATGTAGTATAAGTCACTGAGCTGTGCACCTTACAGCCACAGTTGCTGAAAGAACTTAGAGTTTCATAAGAATGAGGACAAAATTAATTGGAAACTCTGCTGTAAGGTAGGTGTGGGCAACCATACCCGTAATCTCAGTATGCAAGAGGCTGAGACATGAGAATGACAACTTTGAATCATCGCAGGCTTTGTACTGAGACCCCGTTTCAAAGAGAAATAAAGGAAGAGACGAGAGAAGGGAAGAAGAGGAAGGAAAAGATAGCAGAACCTCTCTTGTATGGGCCATGCTGCTCACCACAGTTAGAGAGAGATGGTTTCAGGGGACTAACCGGAAGCCCCCCTGGAAGGACACCTGTAAGAAATGTGTGCAAATTGAGCAGGACAGATGCCATCAAGGACGGTGATGGGTGCAGCAAGGTTTCCTCATACCTTTTCCTGTGGTAGAGTCAGAAGCAGGGAAAACAGAAGCACAAGGATGACCTTTCCATCTGCCCAGTGCAGGTCAGCAGTGGCTAAAGGCAGGACCCTGAATTCAGTGATCCCAGGCACCCTAAGGGCTCTGAGACCACCATACAGGCAAATGTACACTTCCGTTAGAGGTACAGAGAAGAAAGGGCCACGAAGCATACTCACCACGCCCGTCTCTGTGAACAATGGGAGGCTGTACTTCTGTAGATGGCGCATCATCCTAGGATCTGAGACAAGGACAGCAGCCTGGAAGCCCTGGTGCCAGGGCTGGAACCTCGGTAATCTGAACCCAGAATGCAGTGCTACCCTCTAATAGGACTTTTGGTTGTTTTTTCTTTTTTTAGAGCCAACTCTGTGACATGGAATCCACACAAGATGATGGGAGTCCCTCTGCAGTGCTCGGCTCTCCTGGTTAGAGAAGAGGTATGCTTTCCTGACTCTGGGGCCGTCCGGGAGTGGGATCTCCCTGTGCTAATGTAAATCGTGGTCTCTGCTCAAGTCCGGGTGTCCACATTCCCCCACAGAGAGCTCTTCTGAGCTCTTGTTTGGAGGGGAAGGAAGACTTAACTCTCAACCTTTAGAACTGAGAGGCCTTGACTTCAATTGCATGTTTTCTGTGAAGATCTTTCCTCAGATTGAACCCCTTCCCATACAGAGAGCTTTTATGTCCCTTTCTCAGAAAATTAAATTCACAGTTTGCTTTTGTAAATAAGACGAGGAGTAGATTTCACCATCAGAAAGAATAGTTTGACCATAGGAAATATATACATGATAAAAAATTAAAGTTAGTTTTACAATTTAGATGCATATGCATGGGTAGATATACATGGATACATTATATCTCATAGTTAAATTTAAAGTCAAATGTCGTATTCAGAAAGTAAATTTAATCCATATATATGGATTAATTTATTTATAATGTGGTTAATATATATAATTATATATACCACATTATAAATAAATTATATATATGTGTATATATGTATATATACATTATATATATATATATATATATATATATATATATATATATATATAACCACAAAGAGAATAAGCAATGACCACTTTCATTCAAGGTACTTAGACATGTCAGGTCTGAAACAGACTGTTGACCCCTGCATCTCCTTCCTGGGCCCAGGATGAGACATGTTCTCACTTTCACATCTCTCTTGTTTTTAAGAACTAAGCAAAGAGCCAAATGTGTGGTTCACATTTAATGTCCTCACATTAAGGAGGCCCAAGCAGGACCACTGTCAGTCAAGCCTTGCCTAGGCTACAGAACCAGACCCTACCCAGACACAAGCCAAACCAAGCAAATGAAAGCAAGAACTAAACTAATTTTGTCATGTTAAGATCGTGATACTATATTTAAGTATCATGTCTAAAGCCATTTTTAAACATTTAACTCTACTTGCTTTAACAATATTTACTTATTTTAGAAGATACAGATAAATTTAAAATCACCCAAAATTCTGTTATTTGAACATAATATCACTAATGTCTTTAAATATATGCTCCCACAATTTTCCAGGAATGTGTATATTATATATAAATACATTTTTAAACATTTAAAATAAAATTGCTACCACGCACCTCACACACTACATTCTGTATTTAACATTCTAGAGTGAACACAATATTTCCAAACTTTATCTTATTGGTCTTTTACTGCTTTCTCACATGATACCTAGCTGCTTGACAAAATCCTTAAACATATATCTTTATTCCTTTTCTGATTAGTAATCCCTTTAAGAGGGATTTCTGGGTCAAAGGCAATCTTCCTTCTTTGATCCTTCTTGACTACTGTAGATGTAAGCACCATGCCCTCTGTGTCTTCATCAGAGAAATTTAAATCTGAACACAAATTGAAGGCAAACTGCTCTACAAAATTCAAGGAAAACATTGTAAAAGTATTCCTCAGGACTGGTTTTCACAGAAACACTTACTTTAACGCTATTGCCCTCGCCCATGGACACCTCAGCTGTACTACAGGGAAACAAAGAAGAAACCTTTGTCACTGATGTCCCAGTCAGATGTTTGGCAGCGACTTGCATTCTGTCACCACAAGCCAAACAGAGAAAGGCAAGTCATAGAAAACAGGCCAATCTGGATCTAATTAGCTGCGGTACTGGAAAGATTTGATGCAACCCAGGGTAGCGCCTTGTGGTTTGGCACCTGACCCATTCCTTTTCAAAATACTCGCTGACAACTTGAGACACAGAAGCTCCTGTCTGCTTCTGCTACTGACAGGAGGTGATGGAGTCAGAGCGCAGGCTGTGTTTCACAAGCTAGAACAGCAAGACTCATCTGAAAGAGGACTGGTGTTAATCGCTCTCCTTTCTCATCACTAGGACCAAACCCTTGATAGCAGGGAGGTTTGTTTCAGCTCACAGTGTGAGACGATCCAGTCCATCACAATGAGGAAGGCACAACAGCAGGCCACAGCATGGCGTGTGGCTGAGATGTCTCACCACCTCCAACATCCACAAACACAGATGAATAGGCTGAATGTGGGCTAAGCTACACCCTTAAAGCCTACCCCAGTGAGCCATTTCTTCCTAAGGTTTGCACAGTCTTCCAAAACGTCACCACCACCCAAGGTTCAAACATGTGCTACGAAGGAGCGTTAACATTCAAACCATAACATTTTCTTCCTGGCCTCCTGACACTCGTTGCCATCCCATAATACTAAGTGCAGGCAGTTCAAAAATCACTGTAATCCAACAGTTTTAACACTGTCCCAAAGCCTCTTCAGAAATCCAAAGCAGACTGTAAATTACGACCAGCTAAAAGCCAAAAGCCCCACAAAGGCTCAGAGTAAACATTCCAGATCCAAAGGGGAATAAAGGGAACATAGCAAGGGACGGGTGGGACCGAGCAGGCTTGTACTTGAGGAGACATGCTCGTTTTGAAAAGCACATGGAACTTCAGTGTGTACTGTACAGGTCAATAAAAGCCAAAACACTATTCAAAAACAGCACTATTGAGATAAAAACAAGTATAAACTCAGCACCCAAAAATTGGTATCTTCACTGTCCACTGGTTAGGCCCCACCTGCAGCATTTTTGCTTCTTTTGGTCTCAAATTACATATGGGCCCCATCAAGTGAGACTTCCAACAGCAAGAAAACCTCATAAGCCTTTGCGATTAATGATCGGTGTGGGAGGTGCTCTACATGGCTCTCGGTTTACTTTGTCATACAAGCTCGGACCACCTGCCCAGGGTGGCACCTCCCACAGTGGACTGGCCCTCCCACATCAACCAGTAATAAAGAAAATGACCCACAGACTCGCCCACAGACCAATCTGATGGCATCATCTTCTCAGTTGAGGCTCCTCCTTCTCAGATGACTCTGGCTTTCTTGAATAGACTAAACCAGCACATACACTGCTACAGAGTTAGAAACAAAAATGAATCAAAAAGAAGGGAATGGGTTAATTTAACTCTAAGAGCCTCTCAAATTCAAGTGCATGTGATGTCCTGGCCACGTCCCTCCACCCCTACTCCCTTTGGAATACAATGAGCATGGCATCACACAAAAATGCAGTGAAAATTCTGAAGAGACAAAAACTTCAGTTTTCAAAAGGTTGAGATGTATTGATAAGAGTTTAAGACAAATACTGGCATTGCAAGACATTGTTAAAGGCTTTAATATTCTGTTACATATTATAATAACTAGACATAAGACATAAATAAGTAAGTTCTTAGGTCTATTTACACTTGAGACTTCCATTTTCTGCAATACCCACGGATGTATTTAGACTAGTCTGGAACACAGTGGTTTATGACTGCTTCCTTGCTCAGAACCAGGACTTTAACTCATGAAAGCCTTGTGTGTAACAACCTAGATCACTGTTTGCTTCTGAGTACATGGTGAGCCTGGCCAGACTCACCCACCACCCTACACTCTAAGAAGTTCTTTCCTTTGGTACAGATGAAACCCACCTATTTGTGAGTTTTCAGTGCCATGGAAAACCTGGTACAAAGAAGTTTTTGTGGCCATGAAACAAACTGGAAGCACCTGCTATAACTCTACTAATTGTATAATTCTATTAATCTGCAAGGGGATTTTCTTTTTCAAATTCAACATCTTCGTCCTGCTCTCGTGCTCACATATCATACTTATTTTTTCTCATTTTCAAAGATAACTATGGAGTCCATGTACTATGAAGCCCAAGCTACAGGTGGAGTAAATTCTATTGTCTTCCAAGCATCCTGTCTGCATTGCCCAGCATTTTAGTTTGGATAACTTTTTGAAAAGGTTCTCACTTCTACTTCAGCTCAGTGATCACATTTTCGTCTTTTCTTCTCTTGTCATGAGTCACAAGAGAAAGAAAACCAAATGCCAAAGCTTTTATAAAATCACAATTACACAGCAGCTGACAGGAGAGTCAGAAGCCTCCAGTGGATGGGATAGATTGAATCGTGGTGCTGTTTCCAGTAGGAGACTGGCAATGAATGCTATTGTAGTCAGAAGCATGAGTCACCCACGGTTCTTTGGAACAATCACATCTCTGCCTATTTCTATATTAGGGTTATAGTGCTTGGGCAAATTCATGGTCACTGACAGGAAAATCTCCTTTGTAACCACTATAGGCAACTGAAAGTGAAAATTAAGTCTCCAAGTCCGGCCCTTGGGAGAGGAGCAGAAGAGGGGAAAGTCTGCTCGTTTAGCTTCAACTCATAATTTCAGTGTCTTTGAATTTTTTTTACATTCCAATTTATAAAAATAAGAGCAATGAACTATCGATTAGCTCAAACACCAATAACTACAGAGGAATAATAATAATTACCATCAAATAGCTCTAATAATTACAGAGGAGTGAAAGTTCTAGAAGAACCACAGTAATGGTATTTTTAAGAACCAGAACGTTGAGACTGGAGAGATGGCTTAAATGTTAAGAGTATTGGTTAACCAGAGAAATGCAAATTGAAACAACTCTGAGATTCCATCTTACACCTGGAAGAATGGCCACAATCAAAAATACTGATGACAGCTTATACTGGAGAGGTTGTGGGGAAAAGGGAACACTCCTGCATTGCTGGTGATAATGCAAGCTAGTACAGCCCCTTTGAATGTCAGTGTGGCGATTTCTCAGAAAATTAGGAAACAACCTACCTCAAGATCGAGCAATACCACTTTTGGGTATATATCCAAAGGATACTCAATCATACCACAAGGACATGTGCTCAACTATGTTCATAGCAGCATTGTTTGTCATAGCCAGAACCTGGAAACAACCTAAATGCCCCTTAATCAAAGAATGGATAAGGAAAATATGGTACATTTACACAGCAGAAAAAAATAATGACATCTTGAAGTTTGCAGGCAAATGGATGGATCTAGAAAACATCATATTGAGTGAGGTAACCCAGACCCTGAAAGATAAATATCATATGAACTCACTCATAAGTGGCTTTTAGACATAAAACAACAACAGCCTACAATTCACAATCTCAGAGAACCTAGAAAACAAAGAAGACCCTAAGATATATATATATATATATATATATATATATATATATATATACCTTAGGAATATTACATGGAAATATATATATATATATATCATGGAAAGTAGAAAAAGACAAGATCTCCTGAGTAAATTGGGAGCATGGGGACCATGGGAGAGGGTAGAAATAGAGGGGAGAGGAAAGGAGGGTAGTAGGAAACATATATATTGTTCAATAAAAACAAGAGCACTGGCTAATCATTCAGAGGAGCCAGATTTGATTCCCAGAACCCACACAGCAGCTGACAACCATTTTTGCCTCTAGTTCCAAGGGATCTAATACCCTTTCCTGTTGCTTTTGGGCACTACAGACACATGGTAGACTACAGACACATGCAAGCAAAATGCCCACACACATAAAATAAATCTTAAAAAGCAAAGAACCAAAAATCTTCTGAAGCCTCTTTCCCCTCCTTTTTCTCTTTCTCCTTCTTCTTTCTTTTAAAAGGGTGATCTTGGTGTATAATCCTGACTGGTCCGGAACTCACTATGTAAACTAAGGGGACCTCAAACTTGTAGTAATCCTCCTACCTCAGTTTCCCAAATGCTGGATTTCCAAAATATTTTAACTACAACAAAACTAGATTAAGATGATCTCCTAGAAAATGAACATCGTGTTGTGAAATTTATTTATCTATATATTTTTATAAATGTCATTTCCTAAGAAGAAGAAAAGAGAAACAGAAGTGTGTCCCTGTTAACCTCTGGTAACGTCCCTCCCTGAGTCACCATCCCACAGAGTCAGCCTATGATGCTGGCCTTAAGTCTTGCCCAGTAGTTTTTCTATTTAATTCCTGCTGTTTTCTTCTTCCATAAGGTACAATGACATTTGGGTCTATGACTTTTCTTTCTAAACAATTGCTACCGCAATGCAATCCTAATGCAGAGTGAGGAGAGCGCCCTGAACTTCCTCTTTGCTTTTGTAGGGACTGATGCAGAGCTGCAACCAGATGCATGCTTCCTACCTCTTTCAGCAAGATAAGCACTATGACCTGTCCTATGACACCGGAGACAAGGCCTTGCAGTGTGGGCGCCATGTTGATGTCTTTAAACTATGGCTCATGTGGAGAGCAAAGGTGAGCACAGGTCAGCTGAATGACAGCCACAGAAAGAAGTGATTGCTAGATGGAAAATCACTTGGGCAATTCTCTTTGATCCCATACCTGCATACCCACATTCTCCATGGGCAGGAGCACAACTAGACCCATCCTTTGTCCCTTCTCAAGTCCAGTAGTTTCTCCAGCTCTCAACTCAAAAACCCATTTGATGCGTCTGGCAGAGCGCCATAATTTTTTTAAGCGGTTAATTTTGTGCCATCCTCTCCATCTTGATTGATGATCCTTCTTGATGACTGATCGATCGCCTGGGTAGATTTGTGTATTAACAGAATGAAACAGGACTGAAAAATGCCTACCATGATTGCTTGTCTTGGACTCTTCAAGGGATAACTCCCAATGAGAAAACACTTTTTAAAACTCTAGAAGTTTAGAGTTCTGTGTATCTCAAATGTTTTCTAGAGGTGATCCTTCCTTTACCAGTACTTTCTGTAGCTGTTGGTACAGTACAGGCAGGGCCTCTTCTCAGCCTTCTGGAGGCAGACATGCTAAATGTAAGGAGTCAGCAAAGGTCAAGGATTATATTTTTATCAGTTTATTCATTGAAGGTGTCATGCATGCATATAATGCATCCTCGTCACACTGTCCCTCCACCCTTTCTTATCTCGCCCACCCCACAAACCCAAGTCCGAATCCCACCTTCATAACTTTTGGGGGACATTTTGGCTTTGCTTTGTGATCTTAGTTTAATTTTGGCTACACTCTCAATTCACACGAAAGAAAGGTTGTCATCCACGCAGTAAGCTAAGGCAAGAGGAGTGGGGTGGGTTTGAGAGCAGCCTGTCTTCAGAGTTGGATCTTGTCTCACAACCATGTAATCGTCATAGCCACATTTTCCATGGTGGTTCTTGCAGGGAAGGGTTGACTCCCACGATAGGCATGGCTAGGGGGCTTCAGATGAGATAATTATCCTTGCTTCTGGTCTAGGTGAGGGACTGCACTTATTATTTTGGTAACTTTTGTCATTTCACCTTGAAAAAAAAAAAGTGAAGCTTGAAGTTGGAAGTGAAACGGAGAATTTTTCCATTTGGATGTTCAGACATTTGAAACTTTGTGTAACAAATCGAAAAAGCTCTTAAGTAATGCAGCTGGTGACCTTCCCTGTTTCACCTCTCTCCGAGGTCTTCTATTTCAAGGCTGGGAAAAGCGGGCGCCTTCACCTTGTTCTCAAGGGCTGACCTACTCTTGCAGTTTGACCCACGCCTAATATTTCTTACATTCCCCCCTCCCAGGAATTAGGACCTGGAACATTCTTTTCATGGGCTGTGTTGGGGCTTCCCTCTGGGGGATGATAAGGCCCTGAATAAAGAGGAGAGCATAGCCATCTTATCTCCATTATAGTTAGAGCTTCTTCACCTGGTTCCCATGCTGGGGTAGGTGGCATTTCAGTTCCAAGAGCAGTAATTGCTTTTCTGAGATTTCCATTTACCCTTACTGAGTACAGGCACTAAAGGAGACAAGGCATTTTGGAAATCAGTTCTTTAGTGTGTCCAGACATTGGGTAACAAGCGCCTGTCCAAGGCTGTTGTACTGTGTTTCCTATGTCCAGACCCGAGGTTTCCGGAGCTCAGAAGTAAAGGACGTCAGTGGCACACTCACCCATATGCTCACTCATATGTCACCTAACACATGAGTCACACACTTCACAAAGGACAACACCGGAAAGCTAGGCGGAATAACAGGCTTCCTAAGATCAACTGGCATTCAGTGAGCGTCCGTTTGTTCTTATTGAGGCATATAGAGAGTTTGGGAATGGCTATTTTACAACAGGAGTGGGGGCCAAGCAGGCATGTGGGGGGTCCCTCACAGCCCACTCTTGTCTACAGAAAAAGACTAGCGCAGTCCTTCTGTTATTAATGACTTCCATGATTGCATCTATGAGCTGCAGAGGGAAATTTTCCCCTTGAGTAATCAAAATAATTGTCTGGGGGACTAAACCCTGGGAACAAAAGGAATCAGCTGTAGGCCCCAGTAATGAAAAGGAACAAATGCACCCGGGGGTGGGGGCGGGGGGTTAAACGGGAACCAGTCAGCAGCAAAGCCTCCAGGAGCAGCCTCATCTCAGCACGGCAGAGCTGGAGAGGGCAGGCTGACCACCAGTCTCCAGAGTACTCAAATCATTCCACCATTTCCAGCTGAGAGCGACCCACACACCCACTTTTTCTTCTCTTTTCCAGGGGACTACTGGGTTTGAAGCACACATTGACAAGTGTTTGGAGCTCGCAGAGTATTTATACAATATCATAAAAAACCGAGAAGGCTATGAAATGGTGTTTGATGGAAAGGTACGTGCTCACATTTCCGGTCCCCAGCGTCGTCAATCCCACTCTACCCCGGAGTTTTCCGAGGTCAGTAATGTGCTGTCTAGCTAAGTGGGACCATTACAAGGGGACGCAATAGATGGCCGGATGGCTCCTCTGAGCTGGAATAAAGATTGGACTCACAATTAATTCTATAGAATGTGAAAGTGAGGCGCTCCAAAGGCAATTACTCATTTAAATACAGGAATTATCTTCTGAGCCTGAAGGATAAGTTCATTCAAACCATTATTGGAATTTGGGACCGGGTCTGAATCCTTCTTTCTTTCTTCTTTGTAGCCTCAGCACACAAATGTGTGCTTCTGGTACGTGCCTCCCAGTCTGCGTGTTCTGGAAGACAATGAAGAAAGAATGAGCCGCCTCTCAAAGGTAGATGCTGGGGGTTCCTTTGCTAGATGTCAGACACATGAAGCATCTTTATGAGGAATACCAGCTGGTACCCGTTCCGATCCCCTCTGTGGGTTCCACAGAGCCAGGATGTGTGAATTCCCTTTTCCTGACTTTTCACAATTCCATTTGCTTGTTTTTAGAGAGAGAGTTTATGATGTCTTAAAATAATTGATTGGGTGATAATCTCCACTGACATTCAGAAAGCACCAAGAACTGCCCTCAAAAGTTACTGATTTTTGAAGGAAAACAGATACTCAGTTACAAGTATAAAAGAGATTTCAAGTATCAGAAATGATGGGGAGAAAAGGCTGCTACAAGCCCTCTTGAGATACCAAGGCCAAGGCTACCCAGGGGAAGGATCAATAACATTAACAGCTACCATTTACAGTGTGCATTGTGCCCCAGGCTCAACATTTATCAGGTTTTAGGTCACTTAAAGTCTCATGGCAGCATGTGTGAGCTGACGTGGCCACGCACTGTTGCCATCCCATTGTACTGAATGACGAGGAGAAATGTAATTTTGCCAAAATTGCCAGTAAGTCTGATTCCAGAGCCTAAAGAGCTTCGAAGTCTCCTTTGTCAGGAAGTATTTTTTTTTAACCTGTAATCTCTACCTGCTCCCAACATCCACCATGGGTGAAGTTTGGGTGAAGTTTGTTTTTTGGTGTATAACATCAGGGTGCTGTGGGAACAGAAAACTAGGGGTGGTATATATATGTATATATATATATATACATATATACATATATATATATATATATATATATATTTGAACTTCAGAAGGTTATCTGCTCTAGGTCCTTTTTTTTAGTGCCAGGATAGACAGACATGTACTCCCCACTGCCAAGAAGCCCACCTTACCTTACTGACCTTCTGAGAACAATTCCCTCTATGTCAAAGGAAGACTAGGATCCCTGCAGATGAAAACTCCTTAGGAAAGTTTGTAGATGTTAACATCTGCCCTTTAGCAATCCAGCACCACCTTTCTCCACAGGATGAAACTCGCATGTGGTAGACTTTTTCTTTTAATTTGTCAGTGGGTGTTGTATATGAGGTACATGTTCACATGTGTGTGCATATTCCCATGTGTACACCTGCATGTTGGAGAGAAATCCAAGTTAAATTCTGGACAAGACAAGGTCAAGAACCCACTCAAAAGTCATTTGTTGTGCTAAAGTACTGAGATGTGGTTTTGCAGTATAATGAGCTGCTGCAGGTTAGATGGCTCATGGACAATAGGAATTGATTTCCTACAGTTCTGGGGCTGGGAAATCTGTGATCAAGAAGCCAAAAGATCCCATATCTGCTGAGCCCTCACTTCCTTGTTTATTGACAACCTGTTTTACTGTACCCTCCTCTGGCAGAAAGAAAGAAAGAAAATACCTCTCCGGGGTCTCATATATAAGTCACTAATTCATAAGCTAGAGCCTCTCAAGAACCCCATCCCCTAACTGGGGATTAGGATCACAACACAGAAAGTTAAGGGGACACAATGCTCAGTCTCCAGTAAGTACTTTGCACATACTCTCTTGCATATGGCAAGGGAACATTTATCAAACTTAATGGTAGCTCATGAGCCTTTCCCAGGGGTTAACTGGTAGGAAAGAAATATTTAGATAACTCAAGTGGTTATTACTAATAGCAAGTGTTCACCCCTCCATGAGGATGTCAAAATGAGGATCTGGTAGGTGCACTTCTGGCTGCCCAGATGGGCTCTACGCACCTCTCTGCTTCTGGGTCCTCTCTTCCATCTCCATCATCTTCTTTCCCACTGCTGCTGCTCTAGGGATGGACCCAGGAGTTCATGCCGGCCTGGCAAGTGTCCCACCTGGAACTCCACTCTAACTTCTCTTCTCCTTATTCCTTTGTTGTATTGTTGTTTTGTTGCTGTTGTTTTGAGACAGGGGCTCACTCTGTAGCCCTGGCTGGCCTAGAAGTCACAGAGATCCACCTGGCTCTGCCTCCCAAATGCTGGGATTAAAGGTGTGACCCACCATGCCCAGCAACTCTTCATCATTACCCGCATCACTTGTATCCTCCACTAACTGAGGATTTCGAAAAGGCCAACAAATGAGTTTAATGCAAATTGGTAAAGAAGCAATTTGACTGCGTACTTGAGGGGACTTTGCAAAGGTCTAAAACTGAGCCATTTTTGGCAAATGTCTCTTTGATGACTGTTCTACTTCCCCATTTCATTTCTTATTATTCTATGTTTTAAACACAAAAGCTTTACAACATATAGTAAAAATACATTTCTATGATAACTGTATGTTATTTCATGAATACTACCCCTGAGGAAGAAACAAATGTGTATTTTAATTATGAAGAGACTTGTTGTGATGTAAGGGATGGTCCCCATTTTCAACTCAATTTCTGACCATGTACATCCCACATGAGTTGAAAGCCTTCCTGGAGTCTCATTTTTGGCTGTATCTTTGTTATGAACATCACAGATCAGATTGTATACTTACAAACTCCAGTAGCAAATGCATGTGGACAGATCATGCACCTGTGTAGATGCAACTGGAATGTGTGTCTTGTCTGAAAGAGCTGTTCCTCCCAGGCTACTGCCATAGCAGTTAGAATTCAGAACGCCCTCTACACTTCCCTGCACTGAGCTAGGGAACAAAGGAATGAAAAGGGCCATACCTAACTTCCAGGAGTTTACAGATGAGGTAGAAAGAGAAAATGTATTTGTTCATCAGCGAAAGGTCAATTAAGAAATGAGGATATTGTTAGACTCGGCAGGGAAGGGCCGTGTAGTTACAACTCAGAGAGAAAGATGGTGGCAGCAGGAAAGGGCTTGCAGCTCTTATAGCACTGCAGGGGAGGAGGGCAGCTGAGCTCTCAGCAAGCAGAGTCCTGGAGAGCACACCCTGCAGGCTGAGGACAGACACCAAATGGCGAAAATGTAGCTGCTTCAAGGGATCTTTAATAAATTGTTCTTGCCAGAGTTGTAGATTGTTTTGGTGAGCAACTGAAGATGAATCCTTGGAGCTGATGACAAAGGGCCTTTGTGCCAAGCCAGGGAGCATGAACTCAATTTGATACTGCCAAAAGAACCCATGAAGCTGCAGTTAACAGTCTAACATAAATACTGTGATCTTGTCTGAGATATTCTTCTGTATATAAAGCTGTGTGGATTCAGCTTTTTACTCCCAGATAATTCTTCATATAATTAAAGATTTTTCCCCCCAAACAAAATACTTATAAGTGGAAGCAATTTATAAAGAGAATATAAAGAAACTGGGGAGGCCAGAGGAATGCTCTGGATGTCTTCCTCTATGGCTCTGGCCTGGTTCTCTTGATACATGGTCTCCTGCAGAACTTGAAACTTAGTGTTTCAGCTAGGTTGGCCAGTGAACTCCAGGACCAGCCCATCTCCTCCCCACAGCATTGGTGTTACAATATGTGCGACCGCTCCTGGTTTTGTTACATGGGTGCTAGAGAAACACAGATCCTTGTGTTTTTAAGCAAGTGAACTCACCCGACAGAGTCATCTCCCCAGCCCCTCAGAGGTCTGCGACACTTATCCATCACTTGATACTATCCCTCATAATAATTGTATGAAAAATGCTTTCTTTGCAATGACTTCATATTTTCCAGTGTGAAACTCTCTCCAAACCATTTAGCCCTGGGCCAGTACTGGATTCTTCCCATTCCGTCCAAACACTAACTAGACAATCAAGATGGAGAGTGCCCGCTAGCCTACTGTGTGTTACTCTTATCATATTTAGGGTTTTTAACGTTTTGAGCTGTTTTTATTCTCTGAGTCCATGAAAACTTGAAGAAATTTCTTCAAGAGAAAACTGTGGTCCCATGCAGTTGAAAGCCAAAGTCATCGCTAGCTAGAGGGTTGCTAAGAGGGGTCCAGCCTTTGCACTGATGTGGCAGTCTCTCCTACAGGTGGCGCCAGTGATTAAAGCCAGAATGATGGAGTACGGCACCACAATGGTCAGCTACCAACCCCTGGGAGACAAGGTCAACTTCTTCCGCATGGTCATCTCAAACCCTGCGGCAACTCACCAAGACATCGACTTTCTCATTGAAGAAATCGAACGCCTGGGACAGGATTTGTAATCACCTCCCTCATCAAACTGTTGCAATTCTCTAGGTAGACAGTTAAGTTGTCACAACTGTGTAAATGTATTTGTAGTTTGTTCCAAAGTACAACTATTTCTATATTGTGGTGTCACCGTAGAGTACAGTTAAAAAAAATCAAAGCAAACAAACAAAAAAGAAACATTGCTCCTTTTAAAAATCCTTTCTTAAGTTTAGAATACCTCTCTAATAATTAGTGACAAAGGCTATATGTTCTAATCAGTAAGAAAAAGCATAATGTTGTTATAAATACTTCCCTTTTAATATAGTATGCTAATCCAACTTTATTTTCCCGTCAGAGCAGTAGTACTGAATAGTGCCGAATCACCCTTGAATCATAAAAGGTTCTCTGGGTGCCAACAAAGGACAAAGTAAATATAAAGTGTATACTGACAATAAAAACTCTTGCCTTTTTCATAGTATTAGAAAAAGATTTCTAATTTACCTATAGCAACATTTCAAATGTATTTAAATACATATAATTTTACAAAAAGAAAAATATATATTAAAAGAAATCCTATTTTGTAACATATAGATTTTATTTTATATGGGTTATACAAACTGCAGGGGCAGATATGAAACCTAAGCCAGATTTATTTCTTTATTTTTTTCTCTCTTTATTTTCATGGAGGCACAATAAAACATTTTAGCATGGTAATTTTCACATAGAAACCCACCAAATTCTTTAAAAGTATAGTAACTTACTTTAGTATATATTATGGCTTATCATATCTCTAAAGGTAGTATTTCAAAACAAACACACACGAAAAAAACCCATGAAACTTACTGAAACAATTGATCAGATCAATAATGAAGACCCTGTTTCTGTTTGGGCTTTGCACTCATTGGCCCTGGAAGACCCGCCCTATAATCCCTGCCTGGTCCTGGATCCAGGCAAGCATGCCCATTCTACTTTCCCAAGTAGCCTGCTTTGAACAGAAGGTTGATATTAGTTCTTGAAGTGTTTTTTCAAACCATATTCTTTTGTTAGATCATCTGGATTAATTAAGAAAATAAACTAAAAATAAAACCTAATCAGCCCAAGCAAGGGGAGGGGGTGAGTAGCACTTAAGTGTGATGAGCTCAGAATATTAAACCCACCACGGGAGAGGAGACCTCTGTGTGACAGCAGTGGCTTCATCCCAAATGCCATTTTGCTGCTTTCTGGAGAAAGGGTCATTTGCATCAAGTATATGCTCTTGTTTGAATCCCTTCTTCATCCCACACTTTAACGCCTCTCCTGCTAGACTCCCTACCTCCAGATCCTCAATAATGATTTAATATCCCACGTGGCTGTTTCTTTCCTGAAATGAGTTCCTTGTTCAAACAGCTTCAAGACAGCCTGAGATCTTTTATCTGCCTCCCATCAAGATCCACAGTGACCAGAATATGCAGAGATCACTAAAACTCAAAATAATATTTTTAAAAGTAAATTTCTTCCCCTGCCAACTTTATGGAGAGCTATCTACAGCTCCCATGATAACTTTAGAGTCACCTAGGAACAGACCTAAGCACTGGCCTTTTACATGCAAATGGCGGGTGCAGGTCTGGAAGCATTTTCCCACTCCATATGGATGGGCATTTCAAAACTCAGAAAGACTACAGGAACAAAGAAGGCCCTGTCCTTACCTATCACAAATCTTCATGACTTTGCCCCAGACTTCATTTGATCAGGCTGTGCAAACCTACTGGTCCTTGGTATGAATGTGGTTTTAGGCACTTGCTGTCTAGAAAGCCAATGGATTTCATGGAGCACTGAAGCAAAAACTCCCCGCGCATGAGTTAATAAAGGAATAGCCTCCCATGGTAGGTGCCTTCTAATGGCAAGCTTGCTTTTCCTTTCTATAAACTGGCTGCAGAGAGCTAACCAACAGCTGCCTATCCATCTTCAGCCTTGGGCCAAAAGTTGTCACTCCACAGGAAGAGACAGTCATCTATCAGACCCACTGTCCCTCTTGAGAAGGCAGCAAGATCTAGTGTCCTGATCAAGAGAAACTTAGCCCTTGGGGGACAGACTTGGTAGCACAATCTGGCTTCTAGCTTGGTGAGATGACAGGCCTTGTATTCTAGAGAAGGAAGCAAATGCAAACTTAGCAGGTCCCGATCTTTTAATTATATCTGCCATCCACTTGAGAGAGAAGAAGGGATGATAGGAAGAAAACAGAATAATGGAAGGAGATTGTACTGAACATTGGTCCGAATTCCCAGTGCCAAAGGTCTTTCCTTATCTGTGACCTATTTTTTTTTTCATTTAAAAAGCATTGGTTTCAGCTTTAATCAGAATTGATATGACCACTTTTATTTACACAGCAATATTTCATTTATTATTTAAAATACTTGAAAAAAGTGCAGTGTGTGTTTATCTGAGATCTCTAAATGGTATAGAGTTCATGTACTGTCACAGGATTTGAGTAAAGAAAAAAAATTGTGTGTGTGTATGTGTGTATGTGTGTGTGTGTATTGCCTTTAGTATGTTGTTAGTACAGTCTTGTCACCTCAGATTGGGGTTGTGCACTTTATATTGAATTGTGTGGTGTTGCAAATTAACATGTGTTGCTGTAAAAGCTTGCACAATTATCAGTATGTCTTCTTCTATGTGGTAGCTCTATTGAACTTTGACCTTTGAGACTATGAGTACTACATTTGCATCAGTCCCAGTTCTCACCCTCCCACACCTCCCAAGCTGTGTGCCCTCTCCATCAGCTGTTGTAGAGAACATAGCCTCAGCTAAGCCCCACCCTAAGAAATCCCTTTGAGGATTGTGTGATTGCACACAAACGCAAAGTGAACACCATTTCATCTCTGAGGTTAGAGAAACCAATTACAGAGTGTCACAAGCTGCTGATACTGCAGGTGTTGACTCCGTGGGGACTGGGAGTAGGTGCTGCTCCACAGAGCGTGGACAAAGGAAGCACAGGTGTAAATATAGTAGCAGGACAAAGAATCAAAGACATCAAGCCAGGTATCGTCTTGCACGTGCTTTTCTGTTTTCAAGTGCTAAGTGCAAACGCTGTGTATTAACTAGTTGCGTGTGCCAAGATCTTGTTACCAAATGGTGTTTCTGAATAATGTCAACATTTCCCCAGCATCCTCCATTACTAAAGACAGAATAAAAATAAAAATAAAATATACAGATATGTGGCAACTGTTCTTCCTACCAAATATAAACTTGTGTATGATTAAAGTATTTTACCTGTGTTTTCGCTCTAAACCCAAATAAACGTGTAAATGTGAATACATCTAGTCTGTGTATGGTCACTCTGCACACTGCCATATGGCAGAGGTCATTTTTAGTGACTTTGTCTTTCGGTCTTATTTCTGCTATCACCTTCTACTGACACATCTAGAGGATATCTTTACACAAATTCTAGTTTCTCTTTCAAACAGAAATAATCCATGAAAAATATTTTATTATAAAAGAATTATATAAGTAGAAAATGAGAAAAACAAAATAACAAAGTTCATGTAGCCTTCAACCTTTACTGTTTGTAGAGGCCAAATATTATTTAATCTATTTCTCTACACTACTTTATCCTCAACAGCAAACTATGTTTTTGTGAATGTGTAAAAGATAAGGACTCTCAAATAGCAGGGGCACACAATTCTGCCATTATTATCACCCAAGAAGAATTTTCCACTCTTTTTTGGAATGAGTGAAAGTATCTCAGGAGTATTAAGAATTCAGGTTCTGTAGTCAGATTGCCTGGAATTAGGTTAGAATCCCATCGCTGACCCTCTGGAATATTCCACAAACATCACCAAGCCTCTTTGATTTTGTTACCCACTTTTACACCAGCAACTTTCCTCATAAAGTCTTCGTGTTGGTTAAGTTGGATGTGTGTGTGTGTGTGTGTGTCCCTGAGGATGGCTCTTGGTATTTGTGCTGACTAATCTTCATCCTCAGCCTGATTGAATTCACCTGTCGGTGTACCTGTGAGAGCATTTTCATAGATGCTTAGCTGAAGGTGGAAGACCCACCCTAAATATGGATGATGTCATGCCATGGGCAGGGACCCTGGACTGAACAAAAACCGTAAGAGGAAAAAGAGAGCTGAGCACTAATATTCACGTCTCTCTTCCTCCAGACCACAGGTGCGATGTGGCCAGCCGCTTCTCATCCTGTTGCCACGCTTTCCCTGCACAGAGGACAGTATTCCTCCAAACCACATCCAAGCTTCCTTAAATGGCATTTGCCAGGCATTTTGTCACAGCCACAAGAAAAGTAATTAACACAGCATCCTATAAGCAGTAATGATACCACTGTTAACTTTATGTGAACTCTGTAAGTCACCTCCTTACACACCCAAACTCCACTGAGCTCCTCCATGGCTGACTCTTGTTCAGTGGAGTTTAGTGAATGCCCACTTAGAAAAGTTCAATCTGGAAACCGGGATTCAGGTTGTCTTCTACTTATTCATGTAGATTGCCTACCTGTCCTATTGATCTGTCTTACTCACCTTATCTAAAACACACAGAGCCCTAGCAAAACTCTCCATCCTCTCCTGTGGTACCCTACAGTGAGCAGTCGCTCCATCCATGCTTTGTGCATCTTTCCTGATGTTTGACGTCATCATAACTAAGTTCACTAATGTTCCTGAGCTTCCATAGCTGAGGGCTAAGGGAATATGTCCTAGGAAGAAGTCCTTGAGACAGGTTCAACATACAAATTTAGGAGTGTGTCAATTCAGGCTAGACAGATAAGAGGTCTCAGACATCCCACTTCCAACTCATATTTCTTCTGCTCTGTGCCCACTTGAACCCTCCCTCAAGCACCTGTCGGGTTAAAAGCCCCCATACTTCACATCTCCTGCACACTCTCTCTGCCATCAGGGTATCTGTGTGGAATCACTCACTCTCCCTTGAGTATTCTGTTCCTCCTCTTAATTCTGGAATCTAACACCACCTTCTGAGGGCCTGCACTGAGTCCTTACTGCCTCCATAAGTGATATTCATGGCCTAGTGCTGGGATCCTAGTGCTGCCCAAATGAGGACCCACATCACTGCCTTGCCTGCTCCATGGGAGATTCTCAAATCTCCCTTCCTCTGAGACCACAGTACCATTATCTGAGGACCTGTGCTGAGTACCTAAATGTCCCACTGGGAGTCCTCAACCTCTATTGTCTCCAGCACTCTAGCCTCAGTTTCTGAGGAACTGCAAAGAGAACCTGCTTTCTCTCCACTGCGTCTGCTGGCGAGGCCAGAAGCTGCGTCTCTCCTTAGCTAAGATACAAGTGCCTCTGCTGCCCAGCTCTCAGATCAGCACCAAGTGGCGCTAAGACTGGACTTTGGGCATTATCTGACATAAAACTTGTCTGTTGTAGGAATTCCTATAGCCAGTGCTTTTAAGTTACTCGCCTACTTGGGCATGGCCTCTTATACTATATATGCCAATGTAAAGCGCGTGTCCAGCCTCTTTTCCGGCTACAAGATCCAGTTGCTGTTCCCCATTTGAGGAGAGGACTGTGATCTGTGAGTCTACCCCTAAGTAAATAACCCTTTATTATACTCTATTCTGAGCTAGTGTGGGATTTATTTTTAGCTTCCGTCTTCACTTGTCAAACTCACAAAACAAAAGGTAGAGATGCAAATACCCACTCCACAAATGTAGGCCAGACCTATGACCAACAACCTAACTCTGCCCAGGTCCTCTTCTAAAAACACAATGAAAGAAAAAAACAAGACAATGCATCTCCTCCAGAATCTTTAAGCCCATAGTAATGATCCCCAATGAAAGCAACTGGAATGACATTTAAAACAATGAATTCAAAAGAACAATTACATATGTCCAAGGGACTCAAAGAGAACAGAAAAAAGCCAGAATGAAGATTTTAAAAACATATAAAACAAGGATGACAATTTAGGCTATGAAAATAGAATTCAATAAACAGAATGAAATATTAAAGAAAACACAAAACAAAACTTGAAATAAAAAGCTCAGTGAAAGTCAGGCAGTGGTGGTACACACCTTTAATCCCAGCACTTGGGAGGCAGAGACAGGTAGATTTCTCTGAGTTTGAGGCCAGACTGGTCTACAGAGCAAAGGCCAGAACAGGTTCCAAAGCTACAGAGAAACCCTGTTTCAACTCACTCCACTCCAAAAATCTTCACCAGTGGACAGGAAGATGAATTATCAGGACTTAAAGATAGGTAGAAAAATTGGAGCACTCAGTCTAATAAAACAATAAATTAAAATCAAACAGACGATGTAGTACCTTTAAGACACTATTTAAAAAAAAAGAAACCTACAAATATTATGGATATAGAAGAAGGAGAATAAATCCAGGTCAAAGGCACAGAAAATATTTTCCCTAAAACCATAGAAAAATCCCCAAATCTAAAGAAAGAGATGCCCATCTAAGTACAAGAGATATACCAAACACCAAATAGACAAGATCAGAAAAGAGATTTCCTCATGTTTTATGATAGAACAAAGAAATATTGAAAGCTGCAAGAAAAAAGGATCGAATCTCATATAAAGAAGGTCCTATTAGAATAACATTTAATGAAGTCAGAAAGACAGAAATTGTGTACTTGCAGTTGTGAAGGACCACAGATGCTAACCCTGATTACTATATCCAACAGAACTATCCATCATGATTGAAGTAGAAAGAAAAACATTCCCAGACAAGCACAGTCTACAGGAATACATGGCTACCAAGTCAATCCTATAGAAGACACTGGATGGAATATTTTAGACTGAAGAGGATTGTTGGGTCCCTAGGGGACAGGCCTTCGCACCCCCACTTGATCTGTTTTGCACTCTTGCAGTTGATTGAAAACAGGAACAAAAACAGGAACAACCTGTTGTTTTCAGCAATGTTTCTAAGGATGTTTACCCCTAAGCCATTGAGTTATGGTGATGAGCTTCCTGCTTTTGCTGGTTTGGCCTCCCCTGGTGAGGGCTATATATACTGTGTGAGAAAGTGGAATAAAGGCTTGTCTGCAGAACCTGAAGTTGTGTTGTGTGTTAATCCCGACGTCCCTTGCTCAGAAGAACTAGTTGCCATGCTGGCAAGGCAGAGGATAAGCAGGTGTGAAGTACCTCCTCGTGAGCTGTTGGTCAGGAGTGCCCTAATAGCCCCCAAATAATACAAGAGCTTTCCGTTGCCTCCTAACTAGTCGATAAGACCCATTGCTGAAGACACTGCACACCATGGTTCTAAGATATAGAAAATTCAAGCTGAAACTGAGTCGGAAGTTCCCTCACTGCTGGCTAGCTTTCAGAGTGCCAAAAGGTGCTATTTGGGTTGCTGGAGACAAAGGGCATTAACAGTATTACCCACTTTTGAACTACAGTACCAATCTGCCAAGCAAGATGTGCCAACTGGAGCAATAGAAGTACAAATACCCTAGGGACAACCACCTGCTCTCTGATTGGATTTGAGTCTCAATCTGTGGAGGATTAAAGCATGCTGCCATAAACCCAATCAAAATCTTTGGCCCAGGAGGCCTTAGGCCCTAAGGGTGAAATGACTACTGTTGTTTAGTTAAATTATCATGGTGCCAAGCTTATTTTGTGGGGTGGGGTTGTTTGGTTGTTTAGTTGGTTTGGTTTTGGTTTTTCAAGACAGTTTTTTTTTGTTTTTTTTTTTTGGTTTTTTTTTTTTTTTTGGTGTAACAGCTCTGGCTGTCTCAGAACTTGCTTTGTAGACCAGGCTGGCATTGAACTCACTGCCTCTGCCTCCTGAGTGCTGGGTCTAAAGGTGTGCACCACCACTGCCCACTCTAAGCTGTCTTTTAAGTACTTTTCTTTATATCCATAAGTAAATGTGACTCTATAGGTAGAGAGGCCTCCTCGCAATGAACAGTGTGAGTGCAGGGATGCATGGCTGGGCAAGCCTAAGAGGAACGTTTATACCACCCTTTTAAGGCTCATCAGTAATCATGTAAGAGGGAGCAGAAAGAATGTAAGCCAGAAAATAGGGAGAAGGGCCGTGGGATGCTGTTTTCTGGGCTTGGCCCACCCAATACAAGTCATTACCTCATAGCAGCAATGACTGCCTATAATGAGCCTTCACAAGGCTGGTTCTGCCAAGTCAGACATGGATCAGG